TTAAGATACATCAACCCCTTCGGGAGTTATACGCAATTTCTCATCTGTGACTGATCCGCATTACTTTTTATTTTATTTCGCCCCCTCAGACGGGTCGACAAAAATTCCCGCCCACATAGTGGTATTTGTTATACTGCTGGCAAGTTCATGTTAAAATCTTATTTTGATACACCAACCCCTTCGGGAGTTATACGCATTTTCTCATCTGTGACTGACCCGCAATACTTTTTATTTTATTTCGCCCCCTCAGACGGCTCGACAAAAATTCCCGCCCACATAGGAGTATTTGTTATACTGCTGGCAAGTTCATGTTAAAATCTTATTTTGATACACCAACCCCTTCGGGAGTTATACGCATTTTCTCATCTGTGGCTGACTACCCGCATAATATTTTATTTTATTTCGCCCCCTCAGACGGCTCGACAAAAATTCCCGCCCCCATATGAGTATTCGTCATACTGCTGGCAAGTTCATGTTAAAATCTTATTTTGACACACCAACCCCTTCGGGAGTTATACGCATTTTCTCATTTGTGGCTGGCACTACCCGCATAACTTTTTATTTTATTTCGGCCCCTCAGACGGTTCGACAAAAATTTCCGCCTACATGTGAACGTTGTCGTCATGTGATGTATACTTGCATGTCTGCTTGCCGATTAACCCCTAAATTTTGCCAATATACACAAATATGTATATAACAGACTAGTGTGCATTAAATTTGTATCCTATATTCGATTTTCTCTACGTCGTCATCTGTGGCTGGAAATGTGTGGATAACTTCACTCAAACAACACAACACCTCGTCAGTCGTCTGTGGTCATTCTCTCTCTCCCGTGTCCCTGCCTTTCAGTCCGAATTTCCGCGCCTTGGCCTTCACTTCTTATCGTTGTTTTATAAACAACGGCCCCAGTCGAAATAATACCCTAACAGTAAATATGACTGTTTGGAAAATAAACTAATGCTAAATACATATTTTAATTAAATATAAAATGTAAAATTATATTACACCATTCTGTTCCACAACTTGTCGGCGTCTTTGCATTTTTTTTATATTCGCTTATAACGATGAGATAAACTATACCTAGGCATATTATGATTATTTACAGATTTGTATAGAGAAACAACAATTATCACTAATTTTTATTTAAAGAAAAAATGTACACAATACTCTACAAACGTTGAAACAAATAATTTTGTAAAGAAATAGTAAATCGTTCTTATTTTGAAAACGGTTAAGTTTATCGATTTTTAACAGGTATGTATCTTTTTTATTTAGAATTGAACGTAGTTTAATAATTTCTTATTGGAAATTCAGATTTTTGAAGGACAAAAAAGTTTGACATGTTTACTCCGACGGAACACTACAACTAGCGCATCCTAGATGTGATTGCAAAATAGTTACCATTTCCGTAATTACCACCTCAGAAAACATAGGTGTACAAACTTTCAAGACAATCCGTTCAAAGATGCTCAAGATATTTAAAAAAATCGAAAATATTTTTTCAACTTTAACACCCTGTAGATCGAAAAGGAGCAACATTCGGATAAGGCATATTTGGCTTAATCGCTCTATTTTGAGGTCAGCAACATGCCCTTAAGCTCTGTCCCATTATTAATGAATCACCCTGTATATATAAAACTACTTGCGTTTGGCAATGTACGAGTTACACAAAGATTTCATCATGCTGTACATATCTTTACATACATTAAGTGCTTTACAGGGCGTTTAAAATAATGTAATAAATATTGAAAATCACCACCAGTAGCGTTCCCTATTAGAAAAAAAAAACACTTGAAATAAAAATCCTTTATTACACTATAATAGGAAGATAAGAATTCGGCAGTGCTGTGCAAACCTATCACCATTAATATTACGTGATGTAAGAATAATTTAAAAAGAAGCCTGAACATACATTCGAGAAGAGGGATATTTGCTTGAACATACAATTTCTTAACATAGTCATCATTATTTGTAATATTCCACTTTATAAAATATTTTTTCGGGTAATACCTAGTTACTTTTGCGTTTGTCTGGAAAACTATAGAAAATAAGTATGTAACACCTTTGAATATATATTTTAACATATTTGAATTTGATTTATTGGATTTCAAAAACTATAGATTTGATCTTGGTTTAAATGTGCAAGAAATGTAGGGGACACCGGGGCTTGTTGTCGCAGGGGTAAATTGTCGCAATTACTATAATTCCGAAATTAGAAAACATTGGCCTATAAATCTCTATCACAAGTTAATTACAGATCCCTTCTTTATCTTCCCTGAGTTTGAACTCAAACCGCTAAGATGGCAGCACCGTAGGGTACGATATAAGAACTAGTGCGCACGTCGTAAATTTTCGTGTTAAGAATAATTTAAGTGTTATGCCCGTTATTGAACGTTAAGGTAAGCAAATTTTATAAATAATTATAACTTAGGATGTACGTAATATGATGTGATATTTTTAAATATGTTTATTAAGCATATATAAAATCTATTAGATATAACCAATATTTTGTCAAGTGGGGGTAATTTGTCGCATTGTGGTTGGTAAAACGTTCATATTGGAAGATTTTAAATACATACACTAATACACTACACAAAGAGTATTTCTAAAATATTTTAATTTATCTTAAAATAGGTCTAATGAAATGTAATAGCAACACGTTATTTTATATGCATTGGTGAGTGCACATGGTGAGAATATATAAAAGGAAAACTGAACGAGCACCCGTTAGTTCAGATGTTATAATGACAGCAGCAAGAGCAGTTAAGCTTAGAGATCCACCAATTACAAGTTAAAAGAAAAATTTTTCTTGATGAGGAAAACCACTCACTAAAGAGCAAAAGCATTGTTAGGCAAAAAAAAGTAAAGTTAGGGAAGGATTAACCTTCTCTGATGAAGAGGAAGAATAAGAAACGTTTTGCCTCGTATGCCATGGTCGTTACAGTTTATCCACAACAGATTGGTTGCAATGCACGAAATGTAAGTTATGGGCCCATGAAAGTTGTACAGGCGGTAATCCCTATTACGTATGTCACTATATTGCGATTCCGATCATCATCGGAAGTCATCACTTGTAACCTTGCATTTCATATAGATATAATATTTTTAGTTATTCATATTTTTTAAATGTTATTAAACACTTATAATACTTAATAAACAGTTTTCTCTCATTAATTTTGTTAACGACAACTTACCCCATATAAAACGACAACATGCCCCGCCATGGGGTACGTTGTCGCATTTGTCTATAAAAATAATATATGTCATAAATTTAATTATATTTGCATTTTCCAATTTATTCTCCTTAGATATTTTTCATAAATCATACAAAAATCTTATGACCATATTTATTTGTAAAAAGTTCCAAAAACAACTTATAAAATTAATTAATACCAAATCTGCGACAAGTAGCCCCGGTGTCCCCTAC